TCTGGAGAGCCACACATAACTTAGCTGTCCTTTTGAACTTAGTTTTTCGGATCTCCAGTCATTTAAGTAGGATTGCCATTATGATGACTTTTATGTAATAGGCTTTAATCCCATCCCCTTCGATGAACCATACACTTGCTATTTTGTCAAACCTTTTGTTAACGGATCCGTAATATTCTCTTTAGATTTTATATAATCTATTGAGATTATTCTATTTGAGAGCAATTTCCTTATGGTATTATGTCGACGACGAATATGTCATGACTTACTATTATACATATGATTTTGTGCCATACCCATTGTAGATTGACTATCATAATGAATGCAAATAGCTAGCACAGGTTTTAGCCATTAGAATGTCTTCTAACAAGTAGAGAAGCCATTTTGCTTCTTCACCTGCTTTGTCTAAAGCGATGAACTCAAATTCCATTGTGGATCGTGCGATGCATGTTTGTTTTGTGGATTTCCAAGAAACGGCAGCGCCTCCCTAAGTAAAGACATATCCACTAGTGGATTTTGAATCTTTAGTATCCGATATCCAATTGGCATCACAATAACCTTCTAGTACTACAGGATATCGAGTAAAGTTCGAACCATGATCACAAGTAAATCTTTGATAGCTAAGAACCCGAATGATTGCTTTCCAATGGTCTTCTCTGGGGTTACTAGTGTACCTACTCAATTTACTGACAGAATAAGCTATATCAGGACGAGTACAATTCATTAAGTACATTAGGCTTCCAATCATTTGGGAGTATTTTAACTGAGACACTGCATCACCTTTATTTTTCGATAAATAAAGACTGATGTCTACAGATGTTCTAGCTATATTCATATCATCCTTGATAAATTTACCAAGAATTTTCTCAATATAATGAGATTGAAATAATGCATAACCATCAGATGTTTTAGCAATTTTCATTCCTAATATAACATCTGCGACCCCCATATCTTTCATATCAAATCTTTTGTTCAGCATTTGCTTCATTGATTTGATCATGTTTAGACTGCTTCTTATAATAAGCATGTCATCTACATAAAGACAAACGATAACATATCTTTTGTCAGTGTTTTTAACATAGACTCACTTGTCACATTCGTTTATCTTAAACCCATTAGTAAGCATAGCATGATCAAATTTTTCATGCCATTATTTAGGAGCTTGTTTTAATCCATAAAGAGATTTTACAAGCCAACAAACTTTATTTTCTTGTCGTGGTACTACAACCCTTTCAGGTTGCTCCATATAGATCTCTTCATTTAGATCACTGTTTAAGAAAGCTATCTTAACATCTATTTGATGTATTTCTAAGTTATACAATGCTACTATAGCAATAAGCATGCGAATGAATGTTATTCTTGTCACAAGGGAATATGTGTCAAAATAGTCTAGACATTCCTTTTGTCTGTAACCTTTTACCACAAGTCTTGCTTTATACTTATCTATTGAATCATCTGCTTCATTTTTCTCTTGAATATCCATTTATATCCAAGAGGTTTAGAACCGGGTGGAAGATCCACCAATTCCCAAGTATGATTTTGCATAATGGATTCAATTTCATTATTAATAGCCTCTTTCCACAAAGGTGCTTCAGCAACTGTCATTGCTTCCTTAAAGCTTTGAGGTTCATTTTCTAACAAGTATGTCAGAAAATCCAGACTAAAGGATTTTGATGTTTGTGCTCTCTTAGTTCGTCTTAGTTCATCATCAGTTAAATCCTGTTGGTCAAGACCATTACTAGTCTCTTATGTTTGATTGTCATTAGCCTCTTGACTTTATGTACAATCATAAGTTCTCTTCTGTGAACTTAATTCCTATCCTCTCTTGTAAGGAAAAACATGTTCAAAAACCACAATATTCCTTGACTCTATAATAGTGTTCACATTTATATCAAGTATTTCTGATTTATAAGTCAGAAACCGATATGCACTACTATTCTGAACATAACCAATAAACACACAATCCACTATTTTTTGTCCTATCTTAGTCTTTTTTGAAACAGGAACTTCTACCTATGCAAAACACCCCCCACACTTTCAAGTATTTGTAGGAAGATGGTTGACCTTTCCACAATTCATAAAAAGTGTTGGTTTTCTTGTGGGGTATTCTATTAAGAACATAATTAGTAGACAAAATTGCTTCCCTCTACAAGTTCGGCAGTAAGCCTGAACTAGTAACATGGCATTCATCATTTCTTTAAAGATTCTATTCTTCCTTTCAGCAATTCCATTTTGCTATGGAGAATTAGGTGCTGTAGTTTGGTGAATAATGCAATGTTGTGCACAAAATTCATTTAAAGATGCATCATATTCATCACCCCTATCACTTCTAACCATTTTAATGGTTTTACCAAGTTGATTTTCAACTTCAGTTTTGTAGAGTTTAAACATTTCCAATGCTTCATCTTTACTTCTAAGTAAATATACGTAACAATATCTTGTGCATTCATTGATAAATGTTATCAAAAACTTTTTGCCTCCTCTAGTTTGAACAAATTTAAGATCACATACATCAGTATGAATTAATTCTAGAGATTCGGTTTTTCTTTCAACTGATTTAAATGGAGCCTTAGTTAGTTTCACTTCTACACAAATCTCACATTTGTGATTAGGATCAATTTCAAACTTTGGTATATAATCCAAACTTAGTCTACACAGAGTATCAAAATTTACGTCTCCTAATCTATCATGTCATAAATTTGACTCAAGAATATAAGCAAAAGATGTGTTATTCTTATTAACAGAAAGTTTTGGTACAACCATCATTACATTTAACTTAAAAAGACCATCACTCATGTATCCCTTACCAACATATATACCACTCTTTGTTAATACAAATTTATCAGACTAAAAAACAAGCCTAAAACCATTTTTACTTAACAAAGAACCAGAAACTAAATTCTTTCGGATGTCTGGTATATGCAGTACGTTGTTGACGGTCAGTTCTTTCCCTGATGTCATCTTCAGGATTACTTTCCCTTGTCCAGCCACTGCAGAAGTAAATGAGTTTCTCATGAATAGTTCCTCACCATTTGCAGACTCATTATAAATAGTGAACATCTTCTTTTTTTGTGCAAATGTGTCGAGTTGTCCCAGTGTCAACCCATCATTCCTTTGGATTTCCAACCAAATTAGCCTCAGACACCACAATAGAAAGATTGATGTCATTTACCCCGTCAGAGATGTAATCAAGTTCTGTCACATTGGCTTGATTGGTAGTCTTCTTCCTTGTACTTCCACGATCCTTATTTGGGCGGTGGCAATCAGAAGCACAATGTCCAGTATTGCCACAGTTATAGCATTTTTCTTTAAACTTCTTATTGCCATTGTTGTCGCCTTGTTTAGGACCATCTCCAGCAAACTTTCTCTTTTTGTTATGTAGTTTAGGCACATGTTCAGCCACATTAGCCTTGGACTCAATGGGATTTTTACCATTTCTCCTTTTAGTCTTATGGTCATCTTTCTCAATTCTTAGTCTTACAATAAGTTCATCCATGGTTATCTCTTTGCGTTTATGTTTTAAATAATTTTTGAAATCTTTTCAAGCCGGTGGTAACTTTTCCACTAAAGCAACGACTTGGAAAGACTCGCTAAGAGACATACCTTCAAAATGAACATCATACAAAATTAATTGAAAACTTTGAACTTGAGAAATTACCATATAGGAGTCTACTATAATGAAGTCCAAAAATTTACCGACAATAAATTTCTTTGTGTTGGCATCCTCTGTCTTGTATTTTTTCTCCAAAGAATCCTATAATTCTTTTGTTGTTTTCAGATGACTGTAAACATTATAGAGCAAGTTGTCAAGGCCATTGAGGATGTAATTTATGCACAGAAAATCAGAGTGTTTCCAAGCTTCTACATTGGTAACAACTTGCTAATCGTTTTTATCCTCTCTAAGTACTGGAGCCTCTTCACGAAGAAATCGGGCAAGATTCAAGGTTATAAGATAAAACAGCATTTTTTGTTGCCATCTCTTAAACACGGTGCCATTAAATTTTTCTAGTTTTTCTCCATGATCTATAAGAACTTGAACATGGTTCTGGATAGGAACCAGAGTCATTGAAACTGAGAGGGTAATTTGTATAGCCAAATTGAGCCGAGCTAGGAAGCATTGTTTCTGAATATTGGGTAGTGTTGTGGGCCAAGTTACGAGCTCAAGATAGCTCGGTGTGGGAACAATGGTTGATAGGCCGGTCGGTGAGCTCCAGTTGCGGTCAATGGGCGAGCCGAAGTGCTATGTCGACCACATATAGGAAGCCGAGCTAGAGGTAACCCGGCGAGAGGATTCAAAGCAATTGGTGATCGCGCGGCCCAGTCAAGTTATTTGCGTTAGGTAGCGCGACTAGGCATAACGAACCAAGCAAGGTGATAACCATCTCACTTAGTTGGCAGTGAGTAGGGTGTTATCAGAATATGCATTATCCTTGAGAATGTAATTCCTAGGAGGACTCTGCTAAGGAGAGTAGAGTTCTACTAGGGTTGTGCAAATCATCTCACTTGGTTGGTAGTGAGTAGAGTGTTATCAAGATAGACACTCTTCATTAGGACTGTGATTCCTAAGAGGACTCTTATAAGAAGAGTTGGAATCCTACTAGGATTGTGCCAGACAGAATCTATAAAAGCTCATAGCAGGACCTATGTACAGGTATCACAATTCTTACTCTAGAATACAAAGAGCTTTTGTGTCTATTGTCTATTTGCTGACTTAGGCATCGGAGAGGTTTCCAGTACACACCCGTCAACTAGCTCACGTTTGTGCTTTCAGATAGTAAAGCGACGACGTTTAGAGGAGTGCAAACTTGATCAACAGGATTATACGAGAAGATTATTGTGTGCTCGTACAATTAGCACCGTCTATGGAAATCGCAATCACAAAGAACGAACCTCTTGATTAAGTTTTCTTTCAGCTGATTTCAATGGCGCACAATGAAGACTTGCCACACTCTGCCATTGATGGGAAACCTCGGAAGGGGGCGAAAAGCGCGAAGGCTTACCTTTTATCCTGCCCATGACAGAGTTAGATCCCTAGCGACGGAACCCGCGGAGGGATACCCGTGAAAGACGGGGCTCCAGTCCTCGTCGCTCCCAAAGTCCTAAAAGGCAGAGGCGAAGGTTGGATCCTCAAGTTTTAGAAGAACGGGTAAGGGATCAAGACGAATTGATACGGAGGATGGCGGCGGACATGGAAACGATGAAGCGTCAGATAAAAGGCAAAGGAGTGGCAATAAAAGAGGGGCGCAAAGGTAACACACGTTCTTGCTACTCAAAAGATCATGACAGACAAGTCACACCATCACAAGCTGAAAGTAGAAGCCTCAGGTCGGGCGATACACAATCAAGGACTTCGGGGACGCGCTACTCCAGGTCTGAGAAAACGAGGATTGAAAGGTCTTACACAGAGGGAAGCAGTTATTAGCCCTCGTATTCGCACCAAACGACATCTAGGCACACAGAGTTGCCTAGGTCGGTGAACCTGCGGACAGTGCTTGAGGAAAGGGCTCGAAGGAGAGAAAACACTCACGCTTGTGACCCCGATTGAGTCTTCGCACTACAACAATTGGTTCCTAGAACACATGGGAGTGTCGAGGTAGGAATGTCAGAGCCGCGCCTTACCTATGAACCAGCGGACAAAGTATTAGCAAGGTTGCAGAGCTCGCCGTTCGTTCCGACAATTGAGAATGCACCATTACCCTTAGGCTTCCATCAGCCTAAATTCACAACTTATAAAGGGAAGTCGGACCCCCTACATGCACTTGAGCCACTTCCGCCAGGTCATAGCGGTGTATCGACAAAACGAGGCTCTAATGTGTATCATATTCCCTTCCAGCCTTGGTGACTTGGGTCTAACATGGTTTGAAAGGTTACCAGAAGGTAGCATAGCTTCATGGGCGCAACTAGCAGAAGCATTTGTACCCAGATTTAGAACAAACACCAAGACACCGATAGGGATTGACCAGCTACTCTTTATAGATATGGGTGAGAAGGAAACATTGAAGTCTTACAACAATCGGTATTGGGAGACTTTTAATCAGATTGGAGATTGCCCCATAAACCTAACTATCGCACAGTACAAACGAGGTTTGCCAGCAGGTAATAAATTGAGAGATTCAATGACAATGACGCCGCCCCTTACTATGGAAATCCTGACAGAGAGGGTGTACCAACACATCCAGGTAGAGGAAGATGGGGCGCGCATCAAGGAAGAGTCTGACACAACAACAATGCCAGACAAAAAGCCTTTGGTGAGAGTTACCACGATTAACAAGTAGGACCGACCGTGTAAAAGTCTTTGCCCAACTGGGGGCAAAGTGGGTTGGCAGGTTTGACCAACTCTTTCTAACAAATCTGTGCCTAACAGGGGGCAAAGAGGGTTGGCAGGTTTGACCAACTCTTTTCAAAAAAAAAATTTAGACTCCTTGCCCAACTGGGGGGCAAAGGCGGTTTGCAGGTTTAACCATCAAAATTTTTTTGCACCTTTTAGCCGAGATCAGGATCTAAGCTAAAAGGGGTTGGCAGGTTTGACCAACAAGAATTTTTAGACTCTTTGCCCAACTAGGGGTCAAAGGCGGTTAACAGGTTTGACCAACAAAACTTTTTTGGACCCTTTAGCCGAGATCAGGATCTAGGCTAAAAGCGGTTGGCAGGTTTGACCAACAAAATTTTTGTACTCTTTTGTCGGGATGACAGTTACCTCGGCCAAAGTAGGTTGGCAAGTTTGACCAACAAGTTTTTTGGATTCATTAGCCGAGATGCGTATCTCAGCCAAAGAAGGTTGGCAGGATCAGGTAAGGCCAAGCTAATTAGTTTGGTTAGACATGTAGTCAGAATGATGTGAAACATTGAAAAAGAAACACAATAACCGCACCATGAGATGAAAAAATTTCATTAATTGGAAGATGATTACAAAAGGTGGGACATGTAGCCCGGAGACACAAAAAGAACAACTCGCCGTATGATTACGGACTCGAAAGTTATATACATTGAAGGCAAAAATACAGGGCTATTAAAATTTTTGGGAGGTACATGACGGCTGTAACAGGAGAACGGGGCTAATAGGGGCACGTCGCGTGTCCTAGGAATGACGTCGCATCAAACATGCCAGATTAGTGGAAGGACGTGCTGAGCAACTGACAAAACTTGTTGGAACTGAACGAGTTATGAGACCGAACAACTTCTCTAGTTCGGCAGAGTTGAGCGTTTTTAGCTCGGCTAGAGGAAAGTAATCCCAATCATGCTTCGTAGATGGAATTAAGGGGCAATTGAGAGGGTAATTTGTATAACCAAATTGAACAGAGCTAGGAAGCATTGTTTCTGAATATTGGGTCACATTGTGGGCCAAGTTACGAGCTCAGGATAGCTCGGTGTGGGAACAATGGTTGATAGGCCGGTCGGTGAGCTCCAATTGCGGTCAGTGGGCGAGCCGAAATGCTATGTCGGCCACATATAGGAAGCCGAGCTAGAGGTAGACCGGCAAGAGAATTCAAAGCAATTGGTGATCGTGCAGCCCAGTCAGGTTATTTGTGCCAGGTAGCTCGACTAGACGTAGCGAGCCAAACAAGGTGATAACCATCTCACTTAGTTGACAGTGATAGGGTGTTATCAGAATATGCATTATCCTTGAGAATGTAATTCCTAGGAGGACTCTGCTAAGGAGAGTAGAGTCCTACTAGGATTATGCAAACCATCTCACTTGGTTGGTAGTGAGTAGAATGTTATCAGGATAGACACTCTTCATTGCGAGTGTGATTCCTAAGAGGACTCTTATAAGGAGAGTTGGAATCCTACTAGGATTGTGCCAGGCAGAATCTATAAAAGTTCAAAGCAAGACCTATGTACAGGTATCACAATTCTTACTCTATAATATAAAGAACTTTTGTGTCTATTGTCTATTTACTGACTTAGGCATCGGAGAGGTTTCCGGTACACACCCGCCGGCTAGCTCACGTTTGTGTTTTCAGGTAGTAAAGCGACGACGTTTGGAGGACTACAAACTTGATCAACAGGATTATACGATAAGATTATTTCGTGCTCGTATAGTAACAATCAGATTTGGAGTACTACTTTCAGCAGCCATAATATCTGATTACAAAAAATCAAAAAAAAATCAAAAACCAAAACACAAATTAATTTTCTAGTTACTCAAACCAAAAAATAAATTATAACACAAAATAATTTTACTTTTCTAGTTATTAAAACTAGAAGAAAAATAAAATAGTACACAATAATTTTCTGTATCACTACTACACAAATTAATATTCTGAAATTGTTAATGACACAAGTATATTACTACTAGTTGTCAAAGAAAATAAACAGTATATTATTACTATTTGTATTTTTCAATAAGAATATCACTTTGTGAAAGCACAGAAAAATAAATACAATGAAGACACCAAAATTAGTCTGTCTTAAGATTGTTGGACAATCTTCACTGTATTCGAAGAATTAAAGAAATGAGAAAAACTGTTTGATTACAAAAATCAAAACAGTATAAAAATAAATATAATAAAACAGATTTTTATTTTGTTACAAAAATAAAATCAAAATCTGATATAAATAAATAAATAAAATAAAAAGTAAATTAATTGCTTACCTTATTATTTTCTCGGACAAATTTTTGATCAAGTCCAATGTTAACACAGTGTCCTTAAGACAGATTCGTCCTCTCCACGGTGCTTTCAGATTGCGGACGTCTAACTTCTAGGATAAAATGATCAACAGCGAATAATAGCAGTACTACAAATTATTCACCCAATGAACACACTTTGTGTTTACACTCTTTTTCACAGAAAAATTAATGCAGCAAAATGCAGAGATTAACAATAGTAGAGAAGAATGAAAATTTCTGAATAAAAATCCAAATGAGAGCCTGTCGTATTTATAGATGAATCTATGGCTTTTTAGTTTGAACTCAACAGGTAGCAAACATGTTTGAACAGGTATAAAACCTGTTCGGTTTGAATAAATAGTTAAGGAATCTGTTGGGTTTAATTTAGTTTGAACTCAACAGGTAGCAAACATGTTTGAACAAGTATAAAACCTGTTCGATTTGAATAAATAGTTAAGGAATCTGTTGGGTTTAATTTGAACAGATCTGAATCTATTCAGACAGGTAAAAATCTATACAGCAAATTTGAAGAGGTGCAAGCAAGATTTTTGAATTTTAACAGTTGAAAATTTGAATTCAAAAATTGGCCCAAATATATTTTGGGCCCGATCGACCGGACGGACGGTGGCAGCAGTGCGTGCGTGTGTGTTTATTTTTTGGTCCAATGGGTCTAGTCCACTTTGCCCATAACCTCTCCCTTCTACAAACTTGGGGTACCCTTTGGGGCTCTCCCCAAGTTGCAAACTCAAGCCTTATAAATCCACAAAAGTTTGTCCACCAAACCAACGTGGGACAAACTTTTAGTTCAAACCTTTAAGGAAACTTCCACAACCTTTAAGGAAACTTCCACAACATGTCATTTTCATAGAGCTCTCTTTAGCTTCAAATTCTCATTCACCCGATAATGGTTTTGAGTAACCAACTATATTACGTGAATCATAACGCGGCATAGAACGTATTACCACTTAGACCCGTCAACTTTAGCGTATGGGACCCATCTAAAAATTAGACCAAAGTTGAGAAAAAATCTAGATTGCGTTTGGTAGAGTTTTCTAAATATAATTTGAGAATAGAATTGTATTTTGAGTTTGTGAGTTTTGAAATTATAATTTGAGTGTGAAAAATCTGTTTGGTGAATGAGTTTTGAAAAGAGTTTTGAATTGAGTGGAGAATTTTTGATGTGACATATGATATTTGATATAAAAACTTACAACTCATAACCAAACACATAACTCAAAATTCTATTAAAGTTCATAAAAAAATTTAAAAAATTCGAAAAATATGTTTTTATTGAATATATAAAAATTAACATGTGTCAATTGTAAAAAAAAAAAAATAATAATAATAATAATAATAATAATAAATAAAATAAAATAAAATTACACTGTTCCGGTCAACCGACTAGATGACCAGTGGGACAACCTGTTAGTCCAAATTTTCTCGCCTTCGACCGCGTTTTCAAAAGTGAGCGTGGAATTAATTTTTGAAAATCGTAAACAAACACTATGTTCAAATCAAGCTCTGGAACTAACGTTTCAGAGCTCTACTAAGCAGAGCCCTAATTTTTCCAAAACCATTTCTAACAACGTCAACGTAATGTGATTATTGAGCGTATTGGACAAATAGTGATGATTGTTACATTGTGAATTGAGTTGACGTAGTATCGTGACAAACACATAATAGGAATATCTTATGAACCGTCTTGCCGTAAATGGCGTCCTTAACGTTGACGATGTGTGTACGTTGTCGAATTATGCACGATGGGACTGCATCATACATTTGGCATAATGTGAATGTTAGTTAATAGCACTAGTTGGTGCCTTGTTGGACACAAGGAAAATGTTACATCTCGATGAAACAACACTATGACATTATCAGACTGAGATGTAATCGGTCATCCATACAATGTATTGAAATTCATAATTTTTTTAAATGAATATAATGGTTTGATGTGTTATTTTCAGTGTGTCGTTGACATATGAGTAACGTAGTATTTGTTAGCGGCGCCAACATTTCCGTAAGCATTGTTTGATTGGTATGTTCCCAAGTGTGACAATGGCTCTATTTGGTAGGATTTATTTCCAGCTTATTTTAGCTTTTAGCTTAATTTAAACTATTTTGATGTGCTTAGTTCAACTTAACAATACAGCTTATAGCTTTTTGTAAGTCAAAAATCAACTTATTCTTTGAATGGGAGAGGAGAAGCTTAATTTATAAGTCAAAAATCAGCTTATGTTCACAGCTATAAAGTATAAGCTGTTAGACTATAAGTTATAATCACTTTCTCACAACTCTACCAAACAGGGCTATTAGCACATTGACTTGAGATGTTTGTTGAAAAAACCCAAAATGTGACTCCGAGTTGAACTCTACACCTCCACTCGACACATGGAGACAGTTTAGCTAATCGGGTGAAATTTGTAAATGAGAACACAATGTTTGGGAGTAATGTGTTTTTTACGTTGTGTTTTCAGAGTCGTAAAGAATGTGGCATTGGTTAACAGCGCCACTGGTCTTTTAGATGTAATTTACTGGTAATTTTTCCTTTTGAAAACACTATTCTAGACTTTAAGACATGCTATCAAAAGACAACTTTAATTAATTTATTGTGAAAATTTTAATGTTAATTTCAAAAAAATAAAAAAATAAAAATCTAGACTTAATAAATAAATTCAAAAAAATTATCTCAAAATAAGTTTTAGAAAAACCTCAGGCCTAGTAATAAACTACAACACACCCATGCTATTATGCAATTCTCCAACTATCAATCAAATAAACACAAATTAAGTTTTCAAAATATGTTTTGTATTTTTTTATTTCCAAAAAACTAAAATATAATTTAATAAAAAAAATAAATAACAAACCCTTATCATTTTCATATAATTTTCTTCTTTTTAGACAAAAATAAATTTAAAAATATTTTCAATATTTATTTTATTAAATTAGTTTACATTTTTTGGGGGAAAAAAAAACAAGAAGCAAATTTTAAGAGCACAACCGAACAGATTAAGGACTTGTTTAGAAATTATTATTTTTAGTTAATTTTTTTGGCTTTTTATGAGAAATTATGTAGAAAAATAAAGAAAATGATAGTGATAATAAAGGGGTATAAAATATTGTCCAATCTGTTAAAATCGCACCGATTTACATCAATCCATTAACCGCAGATTAAATTTTAAAATTTATAATTCGCCTTCAAAATCGCTGCGCTCCACCATAGTTAATACATATATAATTTTTAACTTTTAATAAAATATCAAAGTAAAAATAAGTATGAGAGATATTGAAATATAAAATTTGTTATAAATTAATAGTTATATATATGAAATATATTATGAACATTAGTTTGTATTATATATATAAAAAAATATTATGTAAATTAGTGTAGTAAATACTTAATAATTAATTAAAATATTCTTTAATTTGGCAAATTATCCAAAATTACGATTTGATAATCTGCCAATTCGCTAAACCACCCGAACCACACCCGCGTGGCTTTTTGGGGGGTATTTTAGCCTATGGACAAACAGAGCCTTATAAAAAAAAAGGCGGAACGGTGTCGTTCAGCATAGATCTTCCACACGGTAAACCTCAAACCAAAAACCCAATCATAAAGAGGGAAAACTAACGAAGAGAGTGTGAAGCTTGAAGTCTCGCGCACAGCTTCTTCTTCGTCTTCGATTTCATGAAATACTAGGGTTTCGATTACTGGCTACACGAGAATATTTACATATAGAACAGAAATCAATCGTTTTGGCTGCGATTTTTGTTGTTGTTCAAGTATGGATAATCACACGTTATGGGGTCATTTGCCATTGTTGGTGAGAGCGAACTCGAAAGAGTCAGTTGAATACATTCTTCAATCCCTCTGGCGGACTCGAAAGGTCGGTCTCGACTCCGCCGACCGCGATATCATCCGCGAAATGCTCCAACTCGATAACGAATCCGACCTCGATCCTGTAATCCTCTCTCTCTCTCTCTTCACACATACACACACATAATTTAAGTATTTGAAAACAAAAATGTCTAAGACCCCCTTTTTTCCCACCCCCTTTGACCCCCTCTCTCTCATTGGTTGAGTTTTATTTTCTTCTTTTTTTTCCCTTGTCCTCCAATCACCACCCGCCAAGTGTGTGTTGGGAGGTGGTGGGGTGGTGATTGGAGGGGGTCTCCATCACTCCTCATTTGAAAATTGGGTGTGCTATGAAAATCTAAGATATCAAACCTTTAATGCTCTATGTTCAAATATCTAAGAGAGAGAAAGAGAATATTATATGATGTGTATATTCAATATTATATCATGTAGACTCCTTTAGGTGGAGAAATTTAAGTATAGTAATCTTACGTATGGATATAGTATGTATGATTGATAGAATATATAGTTACTATATTTAACATCCCTCTCAAACTCAAATAGAGATACCAAATTGAGTTTGAAGAGAGAAATTAAAACATGAAATAAAATTAAAAATAAAATAAAATATGGATAGATCCGAGACAAATAGATTGCAAAGTCTAGATGGGAGCACAGGGACGTTTGAGATAGCTCAGAGGCGGAGTTAATGTCGGGAGACAATTTATGGTCATGTTGGATCGTTGTAGGAACAGGGCTGGAGTTAACAGAGCTAATGTTGGGAGACAGTTTATAGTTGTGTTAGACCGTTGTGGGAATAGGACCAAAGCTAACAAAGCTAATGTCGGGAGACAATTTATGGTCGTATCGGATAGTTGTAAAAGCACTAGATGTTGAACCAACAAACGTGGCACACACGTAACTTATGACGTGGTGCTGAATGATGATAACAACAAATGAAGAAGTGTGCCAAGAAGCGGCTTGAAAGGGAACCATGTGAGCCAAAGGGGCGGCTTAGGGAGTGCGCCAAGGGAGTGGCTTAGGTAGTGCGCTAAGAGAGGCGGCTTAGAGAGGTTTGCTTGCACCAAGGGAGCAGCTTGGGTTGTTTGCATGGTGTATGACCATGCTTACCATGATATAGATATAATACCCTCTCCTTAAACTCAAATAGGATTGAAGATAAAAACTTATTGGAGATTGAAGTAGAGGGAAAGACAGAGTGGACAAGAAGCGCACACAAAAAAAAAAAAGAATTGTGAGTAAAAAAAAAAATATGGTAAAAATATTTGGAGTAGGAATAAACCAGCAGATAGAGGAAGAGATCACCATGAAGTAAACTTGAAAGGAAAATATGGCAATGGAATAAGTTGAGGTTCGGCAGGCGGCCAAAGCAAGGTTGCTGTTTGCCAAGCTTAACCTGTAGCTCTGATACCATGTTCAAATATTTAAGAGAGAGAGAGAAAGAGAATATTATATGATGTGTATATTTAATAATAAATATTCTGTTGAATAATAATGTAACAATAGTCCTGTTTGGTAGAGTTGTGGGAAAGTGCTTATAGCTTATGCCTAAACAGCTTATGGCTTATAACTTTCAGCTTAAGCTGATTTCCAGCTTATTCTTAAAGCATCTCCTGCCCCACTCAAAGAATAAACTGATTTCTGACTTCCACAAAACTATAAGCTATAAGCTAAACCAAACACATCAAAATAGCTTAAATTAAGCTGAAAGCTGAAATAAGCTGTAAATAATTTCTGCCAAACAGGCACAATATATACAAGACTCCTTTATATAGAATGAGAGAAACCTAAATGTGGTGATTCTAAGTATAGTAGTGAATATTATATGGTATGTATGATAGACAAAATATATAGTTACTATATTTAACACTATTTGGTTGGTTGGGGGAAGTCTATTATAACAACAGACAAAAAAATGGCATAATTTCTTGTTTTTTGAGTCATAACTAACTAAACATAAAAAAGTCATAACCAAATACAAAAAGCTCATAATCAAATATCTCAAAATAATGTCATAACGAAAAGAAAAAAAATTGGTAGTGTAAGTAAGGGTGAATATGGATAATAGAATTCTCCATTTGGTTGGTTCATTGGAATGGTGATTCTTTAGGTTTTCTTATAGAATGACCATTCCCTTAAAATGAAGTAAGATGATTCCATTTGTAATGGATTTGTCATTGTTTTTCTAGTTTAACCAAACATGGGATGAATATTTTGATGGAATTTCACTTCATTCCAGATAACCAAACCATCAAAATTTAAGCAGATGAATGTAAATGGGGGGGGGGGGAATTGACTGTGAAATCAAAATTTGAAATTAAAAACTGGGGCAATTGCATGGGGGCAATTTGTGCATGAGATAGTTTCAAATGGGCGTTTACATTATAATACTAGAATGTGTGCATACCCTGTGGGTGTGTCATGAAAATCTAATATATTAATTTTTGGGTTGAGCAAATCTGAACTTGAGAGAACTTAGACAGGTCGACATCCATGAAAATTTAGGTCAACTAGATAATCGTAGTATTTTTATTTTATCATATTTGTCTCTGAAAAAATAGATGACTAGTATATTTTTAAAAATAGATCATTCATTTTTTTGAAGACAAATACAATAAAATGAAAGTTACGATTATCGGATAACCTATTTTTTTCCATGAATGACATACACGGAGAGGCTTACAAAATAAACGGTTAAGATCATTGAAAACAAGATCTGTGGTGAGCCCCACGAGCCCCTGAAGTTCTCTTAAGTTTAGATTTGATCTTGATAGAAACCCAATCCTAATTTTTTGATTGTTTATCATCAAAATTTAAGCAGTTGAATGTAGATGGAGAGCAAATAAATGGGAGAAACCAAAATCTGGGCCAATTGCTTAGGGTCAATTTCAGTATAAAAAATTGCATGACACAACTTCGAATGAGCGTCCACACCAAATTCAGTCTTTATATTATATAATTTAGTATCGATAATACTATAGATATATACACGCACACCACATTTGTATAGGTATACAACCAACTTGGCTGATACATGGATCGAAATTTTGCATTGAACATTCAGATTATTTATTTATTTATATTGTTTTGTTTTGTTATTTGGATTTCATCAGCTGATTCAATTGGTAATGATTACTTATCTATTAAGTATCACCTTGGTGAATACTGGCTCAGACGAAATTTTCTATGGTTATGTGTTCTTTTGATGATGATAAGCTTGTTGTGACTAATGGAATCGAAAAGTTAGGAACTATATTTTTGAAGAAAAATAGAACCCACATTGGATTGGAGACTTGGAGGTGACGGAATGGGAGAAGTTTGTTGAGTTTGGTGATTGCATTCTTCAAGCGCTATGCAGGACTCGTGAGATAGATCACAACATTGCCAATTGCAAAATGTTCTGAGAGATGATCCAACTTGAGAATGAACCTGACCTCAATCCCATAATAACCCCTCCCCTTTTTCTCTCTCTCCAAATATGTGTGGGCATGCTTGTGTGTTTGTGTAGCTTGTGCTGATATATAGGGCAAATTTGGACTAAGATGAACTTATGATATCCAAGATGGTTTTCATGTTGTTATTGCTGGTTATGTAAAATTCAATTGGTAGGCTGAACTCATCACAACACTCCTCAATACATTGTTTGTCAGCAGATTCAAATGATTATAACCACTTGCTTATAGTATTGCCTTTAAGAAGAGGCCAGCTTAGATTACGGATTTTCCTATAGGTATGTCAGCTTATAGGCATATTGTAACTTGAAGCTGTTGGAATTAAACAAGATAGAAATGACATTTGATGAAAAATGAAAACAACAAAGTTGATTTTGGGACCTGGAGATGATGGTGGTGCAAATTTTAAAATTTCACTACTTGCCAAAATAATTCATTTGTGAACTTGATTGTAAGTTTTGGACATGCATAAGTTCAGAGAGGGGGAGGGGGAGGGGGGCGACTGATCTAAATCCAATGTGATTGTTTTGATACACTGATATAGATTTGTGCAAGGAAAGTGTCATGAAGAATGATTCATTTGAATAGAGAAGAGTGCTTGGATATTGAACTTGTGAGTGGTGTGGAGACACTTTTTTATTTATATGATCTTAGGAATGATAGTGAGGCATTGCTCCCGAGTTTGCTCGTCTTATGGGGCTTAATTTGATTTACTGAACCAATTTTCAGGTTTTGTTTTATATTTACGTAAAAGGAATTGCACTGGTATTTGACTCCAGCGCATTCAACTCAAGCATATATCCAAGCTGTGCATGAAAGCATTGAACATAAAGGGACGATGGAGTATCTGATGCAATTACATTAAGTTGAGTTGAAATGTTTTACATGTCTCTAGCATCTTGTAGCACAAGCCATACACCTTATATTGCTAAGGTTGTCTTCGCTTGTTCTGTCTATACTAGTAACTAACTGATAAATAAGCAGGAAACTGCTGTTGAAGCTTTCAAGTTATATAGATATTTTGAAATAACTCAACTCCATAGAGTTAAAAGGAATTTAATTTTCCCTTTGCAGCTTTTGGTATGCCTTCGCATGCTTATCCGCAGGTGTGTTTATGAGAATATCAATAAAGACGAGATTCAAAAGCTCTTTCCCAGTGAGGTCCTTCCTGAATTACAAAGATTATTGACACTTCTGCTGCAAAAGTTTCAAAGGGAATGGCGGGAAGACATACAAAAGGACCAGGTCAGAAATTCCATCATGATATATGTGATCACACTGATCTACCATAGGATACAAGGTCTGACTGTTTTAATTTTCTATAAATCATGTTCAGGTTACCTTGCCTCGTTTAAAGGCTATGACATGGAATATGGCAAACCCAGACACAGAATTGACAGACCCTGTTGCAGTTATCAACCTGAAGGTATCTAAAAACAATTAGCTGAACTTTGAGTGTATGAAGTGCTTCACATTATTACTCCCTTTGTGAACCAATTTCAAAATAATTTTAAAGCTTTGGATAGAAGTAGGGAAATATGTGATGACCTGCAAAATAGGCAGACAAATTAACAATTACAATACTTTTTGCAGCTTCAAAATGACACACAGTCCAATGCTGGAGAAATGGATGTGAAGTTTCAGTTGGCTAAAGATACCTTGGAAACAATGTTGAGGTCCATGTACTGTATAAGAGATCAGTTATCTGACAATGTAAGTGTGATCCTAGAGAACTGATTTTTTCCCCCTCTTTATTTGACAATATGTTGTAAAAGTCTATGCATGCTCTTGTTAAAAAATGCACCTCTTCTCTGTTTCTTTTCTTAGTATGTGTTATAATGATCTTGTCAGGGTGAACCATCAAATTGACATGTAAACCAAGAGACAAATATAATTTAGTTCCCATATGCTTAACTTGAAAGGTATGCCATGTCTCTGTTATCCGCTTCAAATTTTCTGGATTGCAATGTGAACGCTTCATTCCTGGATGAACTTGATGGAGTTGTTTATTGTGTGTCTATTTGGCCACCATAGTATTGATCCAATGACACCCCATAAGAAGAGCAAGTAAATACAAAATAAAATAAATAGCTTTAGTTTGAAGTTAGTTGCTTTGAATCCGAACTTAATTGGGGATCAATTGGAAACATTTGTACAAGTTTTTTGGCTTAGCAAGTTTGTATTTTAAGATTATATGGGCCAGGTTTAAATCTGATTTGTTTTCTGATTGCTTTTCTAATATTTAACAGGTGAGAGGTATTTTGGTAATTTGTAGAATTGATGGATATGGTTTGTAAGTGAGCTTCTAAATACACCATCTAAATATCTCTTTATACCCACTTGTACAAGACTTTATTATTCCTAGAGTGCAAGTTTTATAATGCATATGGTGAGTGTATAGTGAGAAATTTAAGCAGTGTATTTAAAAGGGGCATTTACTAATAAATCTTATATCCATGGCTTATAAACCATTTAGTCCCATAAATAATCTTATGAACCCATGAGTCCAATCTCAAATTAAAATCTTCCAAATGAAGCATACACATCTTTGGAAACGTAATAAGACAATAGTGTACACATTAGAATGACATTCCATTGTCACAATTTTAAGAATAATACATTTGACAAAAGTTTAATAAGACAACAGTGCACAAATGTCTCATTGTCACATTTGACAAAAGGTCAATAAGACAATAGTGCACACATTAGAATAATGTCACATTGTCAAATTTAAGAATGACCAACCAACCAACCAAACCAAAAGCCTCAAGTCCCATCAAATGGGGTTGACTATATGAATATTTCTTCTTCATTCGGCTCTAGGCTATTTGGTTAGTCAAATTAAGGAGGCTCATATCTCTATTTACTACACTATCTCATGTCAATCTAGGTCTGCTCTAGCCCTTCCCCTAGTAGTTCCATCTACCCTAACTGTATCGCATTTTCTCACTATTGTCTCTGTTGGTCTCCGTTGTGTATTATCTTCTCTCGGTACTACTCCTACCCATTCATGAATATATTCATTCCTAACTCTATCTTTTCTAGTCTTGCCACACATCCACCTCAGTATCCTCATCTTGCAGCACTCATCTTATCTACATGTAAAAAATCCACTATGATCCTTTATGAACATGAACATTAACATTTTAAGAATAACATATTTGGAAAAAGTTCAAAGATAATAGTGTACAAATGAAGCATGCCCACATTTGTTGTCTCTAGGATGGTGCACCTTTTCAAATTCAATGGGACTTAATAGTCTACGAGAAAATTCATAGGACTTTCCAGTATATATTTTTGTAGGATGGGACTTGTGAGTAAATTTCCCTATTTAAAACCTATCGGGTAATATGGGTCGTCACCCATGGGTTGTCATGTGAGTCCAGTTATGTAATTGAGTTTCTTATAGTGTTTTATTTGATCTTAGATAGGTTTTAGAAGTCTTTTTCTATTTAGGAATCCTAGTTCTAATTGGTGCAGTAAAAGTCTATATAAAACAATGCAATACCTTTTATTCAATATAAAATAATGCAATACCCTTTATTCAATGGAGAACTATTCTAGAGAATTTTCATTTATTTTGAAGCTTCTTGAAATTGTATGATGCAATCAAAACCCTAGGTGTGATGCGTTTATAGGAGTGATAGCTGGAGTTTTCTTCTCCTTCTTTATAACCTTTATTTTTATTTTTATTTTTATTTTTTGTACGCTATTAGCCTCTAAAATCACAAATCCAAATCTGCCCAATCTTTGTTTTCCTTATTTAAATCCTATTTTACAAACTTGAACAATTCTCTCTCCAATTTGAAAACCATAGCACCAAAAAATGACTCGAACCAAGGACTGTTACTGTTCAAAGTGTCCAGAAAAGTCCCCCCCAAAATTGTATTTTCATTTTCAAAATCCTACACTTTTGTTGATACACCACCTATAAACCCTAAACTTCTGTATATTTCTACCACCATTTTAGCCAGAAAAATAATTAAAAATCAGCTCCAAATGCTTAAGGCTACATTTGGTACACGGTAATGAAATGAAGTGAGAATGGAATACAAGGTTTGAATGGAGTAGAATGCACATGCCCATATCATTGTTTACCAGCATGGAATGATGTAGAAATGGAATGACAATTTTCATTTGGATGCTTGGTTATGCCTATTAAACTAATTGGAATGGAATGATTTTTTAATTTATTTAATCAAGCTGGTAACAATCAAACTAAGCACATGTAGATTAATGTTACTGTTGGTAGTTATGGTTTGAGTGGTGGTGGCGGCGGCGGCAAAAGTGATCATGCTTGTAGGGTGGTGTGGTGGTGACCGCGAAGGTAGGGTGGCAGTGATGTTGGCGGTGGTGGTGGTGGTGGTGGTGGTGGTGGTAGGTGGCCGTGGCAGTTGCGTGGTCGTGGTGGTAGGATGGAGGTGGTGGTGGTGGTGGCGGTGGTGATGGTAGGGGGTGGTGGTGATGGTGATGGTGGTAGTGGTGGTATTAGTAAGGTGGCTGTGGCGGTGGTGGCCAATGGAGGGGAGTAAACAACACTGTTTTAGACTGGTTCTATTAAGGAATAAAATGCCCTATTATTTAGTTTGGAGGGAGGAAGGAAGGAATATGTATTTTTACTTTTGGTTGGAATAATCATTCCAATGGAACAAGTATTCCCAATTATATAAGGCTCACCAAAAAAGAGAAATGGAATAAAATACAAAGTTATTCTAACGTACCGAACATGTCATAAGTTTTTTTGTTGTCATATATTAAAAGTTTGGACTTGGTGCTAGTAGGAGAGTAGTTCCCAACTCGTCCTACTTCACACCCATAAAAATGAATCAATGTTTTCATGCACCTTATTGAGCCATCAGTGTGTAGTTAGTATAGGCTCAGAACTCAGGACAGTCTTTTCAAGTTAGGAGTCCCCTTTGAAGAGAGAGAAAGAGGGGAGAATAATTAAGGTATAAATTTGGAATAAACTTTTGTGCCTTTTCCCAGTTATTTTATATTTCTATGTAGTATGTCAAGTGCTAGATGCATTAATGACATTAATCAATGCTTACACATTTGGAAAAAGAGGGCAGCTAGGCTGACTCCCTCTTGACTGACTAACTGATATTAATATTAAACAGCTTATGATGTTACAACACTACATATACACAAGGTATAGATTTACACGAAGATATATGGAATCTATACTCATCACAACTTTAGTAACCCGTGTCTTTGGATAACTGAATCATATTTATGTGCTTAAAAATCCCTTAAACCTAACTGATAAGGATCTCATTTCCGCACCCACATCTCCTGCCCTGTTCTGCACAAGTTTTTCTTGTCCCGATAAAAAAAGGGATGGGATGGGATTTGCTTCTCCCAACCCGATTACATTAAATAATACTTATATATCTATATATAATGAGAGCTACTATTTCCACTCCACTTTGCTCTAAATGCACTCCCTTCTTTGTCCTTATTAAACATAGTTACATTAATATCCTTTCACACAAAATACACTCCTTGAAAAAACCAAAATTCAAGAATATTAATGTAACTATGTATAATAAGGATAAAGAAGGGAGTGTATTTGAAGCAACTAGAGTGAGTATAACAGCTCTCTATATAATTTATTATAAAGTATAATTATGATTAAAACATCAAAATATGTACATATCTCTCATTTTCACATCTCTCATCTTTAATCTTTTTTTAACTCAAAAACTTGTCAATTGTTGTTCTTCATGTGCCATATCAACTATCTCATTTGGTTTCGTCCCCTCCTCAAGTTTGCAAATTAACCCCCTACCTCCCTGATTTTTCCTGATCAAGAATGAGGTGGGATGGGACACCCCAAACCTATCCCTGCCTTCCTATGCTAACCCTTTTCTTCTTGGTAGTGAAGGGGGTTTTTTTTTCCCCCCCTCTTGCCTTGACCACTTGGCTTAACAAGAACTCATTAGATGTAGTACAAAGAGGATGGAAATCAACATCACTAATTATTTTCATTTATGTAAGTGGACTAATGTTTCTTGGAGCTACTAGTAATTTAGTTTAAAACAGTTAGAATTGCTTTCGTTGAGTTGCAGAGGTTTATTATTTTGCCGAACTAAACCAAATGTCCCCCTCCTTTTCCCCAATTTAGGCATTACTTAGAATTTTGCTTTGAATGTGGTTCCACTTCCATCATGAATGACACAGTAAATGAGAGCATGTTTTTATGGTTCTTTGGAATTTTGATTGTTTGCACATCCACTTGAATCCTGCTGATACATAGTCATTGAGTTCTGTTCTTCTTCTTCTTTTTCTTCCTATTTTCCTTAGCATTAAAATGTGTTTTTTTCCTTGCACTTACACTTCGTTTGTTTCAGCCCTCATTTTCTAGCATTTTGTATGACAGGAAACAAAAGTGAACAAAAAACACTTCCCGTGGTCAAGGAAAACAAGCTTATTTGGAAAGAGAGATTTTCTGAACATAAATATTACCAATTTCTCCACACTACCACTACCACCCAACATTATCTCCACATCTCCTCCACCACCCCACCACCACTTGGCCACCGTTACCGCCACCTCCATCATCACCATATCCACCATCCCCCCACCACCTCCACCCCACCATTACTATCGCTACCTCCACTGCGACGGTCACTGCTACCGCTAATAAAACAACTAGCACAATTAGTTTCAAGGTTGTACAGCCACGTGCACCTCTACCACCCCACCACCACTGCCATCTCCACCTCCATCATCACCTCTACCAACCCACCACCACCACCTCCACCCCAACCCCCACCCCCGTGGCCACTATCACTACATCCAGCACCGCCGTTGATAAAATTACTAGCTCATTTGTTTCAAGTTTGTATTAAACATAGAAAACATAGAAAAATGTTATGACTGGAAAATATTTTATGAAAAATTATTTCATAAAAAAGGCATTCCATTGTGAAATATTTTTAGCCGAAACAAACGGGCAGAATGAAATAAGGGAATCACATGCATGGATTAGTTTTCAACATAATTGGAGATTGTGATTAGCTTATGCTTTTTTTTCTTTTCTTTTCTTTTCTTTTCTTTTCTTTTTTTAAAATTGTGAACCAAACAGGCATGAGACTGAGTAGTCGCAATGAGAAAACCAGAGGATTCATTCATCTTGTGTGCTCATGCTATATTGCTGACGGCACAAGTTTTCACACAGCTGTAAGTCTTATTTATTATTTTGTCATTTGTTGCTGTCATACAACAATCAGTTGAAGAGTCCCTTTCTTTTTCAAATAAATGCTATATTAAATTGTCCTTTTAACAAACAACATTTTGGTGCAGATTTAGATGGATCCTCCTCCTCCTAGTTGACTTTTTTGTGGAAGCAAAAGTTGGGTCTACCCAAAAATAATACATGTCACCACAAAGAAGCTTGTCTTTTCTTCTTGACCATTGGATAATAATGAACAATGAAAAGTATTAATGTACTTGTGTTTCGGCATATGATTGAACCTACTTTTCAAAGAGTAGGAGCTTTCATTCTTTAAATTCTTATATTATCCATACTTCCCCTCCCATCTCTATGTTACGTTCCGGTGCTATTTGAGCTTCATGTGTATCGTCTTTCTAAGTTATTGGTTTTGAGTTGGATATTATTTCTGAGGTAGTTATATAGAGGTATTGTATGGGGAAATTTGAAAAAAAGTATATGTATATATATAGTAATAATTGAGTCAAAACTTATTTTATCTCATGCTTGGATTAAATACACAATTGAACAAGTCCAAATAGATTGTAAAGTCGTCGAATTGAGTTCACATCTTATTCTTACTTGACATGGTGATTGGTTCTTATACCAAATGATGACAATTCATGTATAGAAAATCTGACATACATACAAGTGGAGAGCACCTCAGAGACTTGTATGCACATAATTAAGGTCTGTTAAACAACGGTCTGGGCTCTGTTTGATAAGTTGTATTTTTTTGTTTGGCTAAAATAGCCAACAAAGGGATTGTTTGGGAAGTTGGATTGGTGTGTTTTGGTTAAAATAGTCCCAAAAAAAAAAGAAGATAAAATAAGCTAAAATAGTTAATAAGATAAAATGTCACATCTAAATTATAATTATTTTATTTTTTTTCTCATAATCATCAAATTCATTATTAAAAAAATAATAAATAATAAAAAAAACTATCTTTCCAAACATAATTACATAAATCATAAAGTCAAATAGTCAAATTTCAATCACCACCTTTCTTTGGGACCTTGTTTGGAAAGAGGATTAGGTTAAAATAGCTCATTAATTTGTCATTTGGAAAAAATTATTTTAGTTAATTTTTTAGAGTTGAGACTTTTTTAGTTTGGGATTAAAAAGTTAGTTTGGGTTAATTTTTTTGATTTTTTTGAGAGAACAAGTGAATATATATAGTAATAATTGAGTCAAAACTTATTTTATCTCATGCTTGGATTAAATACACAATTGAACAAGTCCAAATAGATTGTAAAGTCGTCGAATTGAGTTCACATCTTATTCTTACTTGACATGGTGATTGGTTCTTATACCAAATGATGACAATTCATGTATAGAAAATCTGACATACATACAAGTGGAGAGCACCTCAGAGACTTGTATGCTGTTAAACAACGGTCTTGGCTCTGTTTGATAAGTTGTATTTTTTTTATTTTTTTTTTTTGGCTAAAATAGCCAACAAAGGGATTATTTGGGAAGTTGGATTGGTGTTTTTTGGTTAAAATAGTCCCAAAAAAAAAAGAAGATAAAATAAGCTGAAATAGTCAATAAGAAAAAATGTCACATCTAAATTATAATTATTTTATTTTTTTTCTTATAACCATCAAATTCATTATTAAAAAAATAATAAATAATAAAAAAAACTATCTTTCCAAACATAACTATATAAATCAAAAAGTCAAATAGTCAAATTTCAATCACGAGCTTTCTTTGGGACCTTGTTTGGAAAGAGGATTAGGTTAAAATAGCTCATTAATTTGTCATTTGGAAAAAATTATTTTTGTTAATTTTTTAGAGTTGAGACTTTTTTAGTTTGGGATTAAAAAGTTAGTTTGGGTTAATTTTTTTGATTTTTTTGAGAGAACAAGTGAAATGATTATGGTTGAAATGTGATATTTTATCTTATTAATTTTTTAATCTATTTTGTCTTTTAGTGGCTAATTTAGTCCCAACCCACATAATCATAGCCTAAAAGGCAAAATAGGTTAAAATAACTAATGTTATATTTAATTATAATTATTTTATTTTTTCTCTCACAGTTATCAAATCAATTAAAAAAAAATCAACTAACTTTCTAAATATAATAGTTAGGTTAAAATGGTTAAAAAAATCAAATAACTAACTAAAATAATCAACTTTCTAAATAAAATTATGTGAGATCATATTATATATGTATATATATTGGTCAAATTAGTATATGCTGGCGATATATGGTAGTAGTTTTTGGTGATGAGATGAGGGTTGCCCAATCAAACGTCGCGTTCACAGGGCATTGGTTAGTAATAGTAGGTCCGTTTGGGCACGAGGATTGTGTTGTGTGTGACAAGACGATGCTCTCTGGCTTGTCATTGTAATTCACGTGATTGTTTGAAATTATTTAAATTAAGTATAATTTTTTATTTTTTACTAAAATATATCTTATTTGGTGTAGCTTGCAGTTTGTTTTTATCTTGATATATATATATATAAATATAAAATATTAGTGGATGATATATACATTTATAATTTAAATAAGTAAAAATAAAATAATTTTCTTTATGTACCATTCAAATGGTAAAAGTTTTCTTTGTTAGACTTAGATTGTGTTTGGTTGGAGAATTTAGAAAGGGATTTGGAAAGAAAAATAAAAAAAGTGTGTGGAACTAGATAAAATTTAAATATATTTTATTTATATTTCACATACCTTTTTCATTTTCTTTTTCAAATTTCTCCTCAAATCTCTCAATCAAACATAACATTAAAGTTTTGGATTTGAATCTCGAGTCTTACCTTCTTCTTTATCTATTTCTTTCTTGGGTGCTGTTACTATATGCAACCAACACAAAAGGTATAAATGGAAGGTGTAAACATAAAACAGGACAGCAAACAGAAAGGCATAAGTGTAAGGTGTAAGTTGCACACTTACGCTGTGTTTGGTTGGGGGATTTGGGAAGGGAAATGGAAAGGGAAATGGAAATGAAAGGAAAGGAAAAGGAGAAAGAATTAATAGAATTCCAAATCCCAACTATGTTTGGTTGTGTTGGTTATAAAATAGAATTGATGTCTTAAAAGGTCTCCTATTTCTTTATTTATTTCTCACCCCCTTTCTTTTCCCATATATTTTTTATTATAACCAAACATAAATAGGATTACATTTCTCATTCCTTTTCCAAATCTCACCCCAAAAACCCCAACCAAACATAGCATTAAGAAAAGTCCTTCTTTCTTTTACATAAATAAATGAGACTTGACATAAAAATAAATAAAGGCTTCAAGAATCAATTAAAGTCTTTACTTTATATAATAGTATATATATATTTTAAATGAGAATTTATGTCAGAACTTTAGTATCATTTATGCTTATAAATTATGAGATAAAAAATGATTTAGAAGTTAAAAAAGAAAAACTAAATATACCTTGGAAACAATGTTGAGGTAAGAAGGGAAAGGGTTTTCCGATTCAGGATTTACAAATAATGAACATGGGGGGAGGGGGGAAAGTGGCAAGGTGGGATGAAAAATTAGGGTTTTGAATTTTTTAAATTTAAGTACTTTTTGATTATATTAAATAGGAATAAAATCATAATAAATAATAAATTTAAAAAAAATGAAAGATTTAAGGATTTTGTGTGTGGTGTAAATAAAATTGCCCTATTCCTCTTTTCAAAACACAATGATCTAGCATACGTTAAATAAAAACACAAACACTTTCGAAATAAAATTCACAAAATTTAAATCAGACACAGGTTTATTTATCTTTAAAATATGTAGTTATTTTTTGCCTTTTATCTACAAGTCAAATGTGAGTTATTTATTTATTTATTTGATGGATGTCTTGAATTTGAGGATCAGAGAACTCGAGATCTTAGATTTTTTTCTTCATTTTTTACCACTCGGTGTGCTGACTTATTGAAAAACTTAACAACTTTTATGCTCCATTTGTTTGGGTAAAAACTATTTTTCAGAAAAAATAATTCTATATTTTTTGACATTTGGTATAATGAAAACAAAAGTCAAAGAAAATTATCTTCATAGTTAATGGAAAATTAGTCTATTTAGATAGAAAACAATTTCATTTTAAAAAAAAAAATAATTTTCGAACTAAAGTCTTATTAATCTTACCACAATATCACTACTACCATCACATCCACCACCATCGCCATGGCCATGGTCACCGCACTATCACAATTACCACTGCCATTATCACTACCATCTCAACGCTACCACTATGATCATTACTAACATAACCGTGATTGTCCTACCACGACCACTAATACAATTATATATATATATATTAGCCTTAAGAACACAACCAAATATAAGAAAATATATTTTGTATTAAAAATATTTGAAAATTTCATTTTATAAAAATTGTTTTTAATTTTATTTATTTATTAATTTTTCTTTTCAAAAAAACATGACTCCCCTCTACATCTCGTAAATGTGATCCACTCCAATCCATTTTGCATAATTTAGCTCCTTTTGTTCTTGTGTTCTGGTTTCCCTCTTTCCCATAATGGCTGATTCTTTCTAAGTAGTATTTTTGTAATGTCTTTCTTCATGCAGTTGCCATTAATCATGGAGAAATGGATGATGATTTTACTGTGGCACGAATGATTTTATCTGGAACTCCTTTGAATGAACCGTACATACAATATCGTTTGTCTGTGTTGGCAAAGGAATAAAAAGTTAATAAGGTAAAATTTATATCTAAATTATAATTATTTTATTTTTTTCTCACAAAATTTTAAAAAAAAAATTCAAAAAATTCAACCCAAACAAAACTTTTTAACTCTAAGTTAAAATAGTTAAAAAAATTAACAAAAACCAAAAAAATCAACCCACTTTCCAAATAAAGTCATATTTTATATGCATAAATGATGACTTTCTTATATTTTCTTTTTGATAGTTTTTTATTTTTATTTTTAATTTTGTTTATTATTTTTTTTTTTTTTGAACTGGTAAAAAAGGGCTCTGTGGTGTCATCATGACCCCGTTGGACCCTACCCAACAATTCACTCTCATTTTATGGTTCGAGTCTCAAATTAGAAGTAAGTATTAAAGGTAAGGTGATATATGTGGTAATGTGTTATTACTATCTAATAAGTAATTTTGATTTGTAGTACAATAATATTAGGCTAGTGAAAGACAAAACTTATTAAAGAGTTCATTTGGAATGTGGATTGATTTTTTTAGTTTTTTTGTTATTTTAGTCTGGGATTAAAAAATCTTATTTATGATAGTTTTTTTGACTTTTTTGACTTTTGTAAAAGAAAAAATGAAATGATTATAAATTAAATGTAACATTTTGACCTATTTAATTAAAATAGTCTATTTTATCTTATATGACCTTTCTAGCCCCAGTGGACATCCCAAACAAGCACTAACTTTCTCTTTACAAGTTTATATTAGACGATGATCAGGGCCATGTGCCCCACTCAAATTTTGATAATTATATTAGTACTCTTATATATATAGAGATTATATTGCATATATCCTCTATAAAATTATAAAAATATCCCTTC